TATCATCATCATCACCATCCTCATCATCGTCATCATCATCAACATCATCATCGTTGGGACACCATCATCATCACCATCATCATCAACAACACCATCATCAACCTCATCATCACCATCATCATCGGGACACCATCATCATCATCAAGTTCACCCTCATCAACCTCATCATATCATCATCAGCAACATCATCCGGATCATCATCATCATCGGGACATCATCATCATCCTCAGCAACATCAGCATCATCAACATCATCATCATCGGGGGCACCATCATTACCACCGCCATGGCCATCATCATCACCATCATCATCAACAACATCGTCAACATCATCATCTTCGGGACACCATCACCATCACCACCATCGCCATCATCACCAATCTCATCGACAACATCATCATCATCATCATTGGGACACCGACGGAGGACCGGCGGGACACCGCGCCCCACCGGCCCCCGGAAAGGAAACACGCGGCCCGGCCGCGCCTCAGCCGGAGGCGGGACGCCGGCGGGACACCGCGCCCCACCGGCCCCCGGAAAGGAAACATTTGGTCCGGCCGCGCCTCAGCCGGAGGTAACTTTTTTCTCGCCCGCCCACGCAGCTTCGCCTCGCACGCGCGCACGGCACGCGCGCACGCGAAACCGAAACCGATTTCCCGGTAGGGGGGCTCTCCGTTCCACTTCGATCGCACGCCCTCGCATCAGATTTCCAAAACTTCAATTCGCGCCCATTTGACTGTTATTGAACGGTTGCATAGCTGGGTCACGGTGACCATTCGGTCCTCCACCGCCGTCTCCGTCTGGGTCACCTCCGCCTCCAGGCCCCCCAGGAGGGCCCTCGGGCGTCTTCGGCTTGCCCGTCTCGTCAAATCGAATTGCTGCAATCGCGCGGTTACTGGGCGCAGTGCTTCGATCACCTCTCTGGTCATGGCCACGTCCGCCCGGACCTCCGCTTCCTTTACCAGTCGCGGCTGAGCCGACGGCGAAAGGAAGGCGACCAGGCAGATCGAAGTCGCCAAGAGGCCCCGAAATTTTAGCAATAAACGGAACGCCCCCAAGGCTCTTACCCCCGACATACTCTTGCATCGAACCTTCGTTAGCATCGTAAGATTTCTCAAGAGCCGGCCCCGGAATGAAATATGATTTTGCAGGAGTGAGCGCGGGCGCAGGAGGAGCTGTCAATAAAGACATCCGATCAAAATCTGGTCTGGTCGACTTAACATCGCCATGCCCATCAGATCGGCGAGGTTACTTACTCTTCGTTCCGATCTATCGTCTTTCGGCATGTCCGAGTGGCTCGGTGCCGTCATTTTGGGGTCGTGATATCGCGGGGAGGGCTATGCATGTCGACTGGCCCCCCCCCTCTCTCGAGGTCACCTTGTCGCCCGAACTGCTTATTCCAGGCGCGCTCCGCGCGCCTTCTAGCAGTCGAGCCCAGGTGAACCCCGCGCGCGGACGTAGAACACCCCGCGCAAATCTCAACGAAAGAATCTGAACAACTATGACAATACTGACCTGCGTCGACCGTTCGAGTCCGCGCTCGCTTGTCACCGTTTCTACGTTTAGGGCGAGCAACAGTCGGGCTCGGAGGCGGTTCAACATGCATCGGCCGTGCCGGCGTAGATTCCAACCTCTCAGTTGAGCCCGCCTTTGCTGTCGAGGACGTAGGCGGAAACTCAGCTTTTGTCGGGGCTTCTGTCGCATGTGGCCTGGTTGTCCGAGCCCGCCCCGACGACTCTCTGTCTTTCCGTTGCTGTTCCAGGTCAGATCTTAACCTCATGTTCTCTTCGCTCGCTGCGCGAGCGGGAAGAACATTGTTTTTGATTTGCACATCTGCTTGCCCTTTCAGTTGGCCCCCGTCAGCGGCCATTCTCCCCCAGTCCTCATTCTTAATTGCCTGCGCCTTCTGCTCATGTTCTCGAAGGGCTCGCAGGGCTTCCGCTTTTATTTGTTCGGCCACGGGTCTAGCAGCTTCGAGTTGATTACGGGGCTCCTGATTCTCACGTGCTGCCTGCTCGCGAACCTCTTTCTCTCCTTTCCTCCTGGCAGCGTCAGCCATTTCTCTGGATTCGGCTCTTTCTCGGCCCGCTGATAAGAAGCTGACGCCATTTGCTCTGCCATATGTTTAATCTCTCTCTTCTCGTTCTCCTCTGGCGCAATACGTCGCTGTGCCGCATCAGTGATTCCTGCTACACTGGCTTATGCTTGCTGTTTCCGTCTCTGCACATCTTCCGCCATGACAATTCTCTCTTGTTCGACATGTTGTGCCGTTGCCTGTCTCTCTGCTTCAGATTATGCTAGCATCCGTTTGGCTTCGTCAGCGGATTGATTCTCAATTTGTGCCTCGAGAATCAGTTGCTGTATCTGCGCATTCGCAGCTCTCAGCTTTTCTCGAACATGCCTACTTTTCTCTTCGCACTCCTGAAATGCTATGCAACGGCAGTTGTACTCCTCCAACCCAACGCATTCTCCACAGAGCCATGCAACACTGCACTTGGGACATACATTCGAACAATGCGAGCACACTGGCCTAAGACACGGCCCCCCCGGTTTGCGTGGACATCGGTTCTCCGCCTGCGGCGGGGACCTAGGTCCAGCGTTCCAGCAGCTACTCCTTATCGAAAGGCTACTGGTAGTCCTATGTGATGATAACCGAGGCGGCCCAAGGGTATTGAATCCTCTGGAACTGGAGCGTCCGGCCCAGGGGGCCTTCCAATGTCCCCTACTGGAGGCGGGAGTATGCTGTTCCCTTCTTCTTATACCCTTATTGGTGAAAACTGACCTCTTGCTTTTGTGCCAGCTCGTCTCTTTCGCCTTGCATTACCAGCTCATCAAGTTCTGGCACCCTGTCCTTGCCTGACCTCGTCAATGTGAAATCTGGCCGGTGAAAGCCATCTGGCAAAGGGGAAGCATTCAGGTCATTATCATCATTCTTAGGCTTCTTTACCTGTGGAAGTGGAGTCGTTCCCGTAGGCTCTCTTGTATGCCTTATCGTGCCCAAGCCTTCCGGCGAGTTCAACATCGGCTGGGCCGACGAACTCTTGCCTTGACCTGGTTTTCTCCATCTCCAATATCATCATCCGAATCAAGAATAGCCTGTTGGATTGCATCGGCATAGACAACTGTCTCGTCATCAGACAGTTCTGCGCCTGGGGCGAGCCCGTCCCATCAGAGAAGGGATTATAGCCGAGCGAAGTATGGAATTGAGCGTAGTCTTCATTCCTTTGAATCGAATGAGAGCTGTCCCTTTCGGATGGTCGACGCTCTTTTCCTCACCTTGACCATGCATCTCAAAGTGCGCTGCTTCTCCTGTGATACAGATACCTTGATCTCACGTTTCTCTGGGCATTTGTTCCAGCAGTTTACCCATATCATAAGCTAAGTCAATCGATGGTTGGGAATTCGGGTGTGCCAGCACCAGATTAGAGGACCCCCCGGCGGGAGTTTTGGCTGTGCCATATCTCCCATCCGGGGTCTGTTCCCTTACTACTGTCATCGAATCGGCTGGAGAGTCTCCTTCTATGAAGTCGAACACAGTTTTCAACGCTTGCCATTTTGGGAGGCAGAGATAGCTAGGTCGCCTCATAGGGGCGCTCGCGTCAGGAAGATGCTCGGAACGATAAAATTTGTTTTCTTCCGAGCGATCCTTCCTGTGGTCCTATGCTCTGCGAAGCTAACGGCTGCGCCGCCGTTTCGGCTGATAACCTGTCTTTTGCCTGAATATTCATTATACCTGCAAGATGTTCAGTCTATGTATCATGGTCAGGGGGCTTCGCCGATGACATGTGGGAGAAAGGATAATACCGTCAAGCATGCAATAGGGTAACCTTGAAGGGAGGAGGCTCGCGCGCGCGCCACAGGCTCGCTCCTTTTTCTGTCTCACTAGAGCCAAACAGCTACAGGTAAAACATCCAAGTCAAGAAGAGAAGCAGACAGTGCAAGCAAGGCTAGGGAGCAGGACGGGCAGCAGGATGGTGGTGCGGAAGGAGTGCATTGACTTCATCAGCATCACCATCATCATCATTATCAACAGCATCATCATCATCATCACAATCAGCATCATCAATATCATCATCATCATCAGCAGCAGCACCACCAAAATCATCATCATCATCATCCTCATCATCATCATCATCCTGATCATCATCATCATCATCATCATCATCATCATCATCATCATCATCATCATCATCATCATCATCACCACCAGAGTCATCCCAGGCCGCGAAGCGCGAAACGCTCGTATCTTCGTGCCCCTGCGTGGGGCCCAAAGCCGAGGCGGACGGCGGCGCTGACGGACCGATCGGAATTGGCCCCGGCCCCGATCGATGCAAGGATCGGTGGGATCTGTTGGGCCTCGACTTCGCCAAGGTATCCTCCTCGAATTTTCGGCCTCCTGGGGGGCCCTCCCTCGCCAGGCCCCAGGACCGTCAAAAAGCGACCCAGGATGGAAAACCGGCTCTGGGGAAGGGGTCAAAACCTGTGGAGGTCAAGATTGGGGAAAAATCGCGACGTCGGAATTCTGGGGAGGATCGAGGATCGAGTTTGCTTGTCGCTCTTAGCGCCTAGGGCCCTCCGAGTCTGTTCTGGCCTCGGCGCTCCAACCCTCCGCCCTCCAACGCCGAGCTCCACGAAAGACAAAACAATGACGCCGAGACGGACCTACGAAAATCAAGGCGGACGGGACAAGGAGGAAGACGAGAACGAGGAGGAGGACGAGGAGGAGGAGCATGTTCGGAGCATGTGCGAACGACAACGATCGTCGTCCCCGATGGGTGCACGGTGCAACTTGCACCAAGACGAAAACGTGCGCTGGAATAAGACAAGAGCTTGACGGCGGCCAATTTGCGCGCAAGCGAGTCGGGGGCACGCAGAAGCTCGGATATAATAGGCTATACAAGCCAAGGTCATGGGCGCGAAGAGGGAAGAAGGAGAAGGAGAAGGAGGAAGAGGAGGACGAGTCCCGATCGACAGACCAAAGTCATGCTCTAAGGCGTTCGCCCCTCTGCCCCACGGGGCGGCACCACCACAGGTCGTCTGGACCTCTAGCTCCAGGTCCTGTTCCCTCTCCTCAACCTCCTCTCCATGCCTTTTTGTTATCCCTTCTCCTGATATTCGCCACTCTTTTCTCTTCAACATCACTGCCACCAAACATCATGTCCCCCACCTTTCACATCCAAGTCACTGGTGAATGACTCCTGAATGCAAGCCTGCACAATCGGAAGGCCTGTTGGATCACAAGACATGATAAAGAGCTTTATTCAATGCGACACTCCCTGGAGCAGCAGCAACAGCAACCGTCCAAACCTGGCTATGAAGAAACGGCGATGGGATGCTCACGGATGTTTTTTTGGGAGCACGCCCCATCAACTTGAGCAACATCCCTGCACGCTTCGTACAGTTACGATGATTGCGCTCCTGCCTGGGTATGACGAAGCAGTGGTGAAAACCACGAATCGCGATAGGGCTGCAACTTCCTGATGTTATGGATGATATGTTGTTGCCCTCGCTCAAGACTCTATCACGAAAACAACGCCGCTCGTGTCTAAGTGAGAATGATGTATTGAGTTATGTTGCTTCGAGCGATCCCCGCCGAAACCTTGGGACCCTCCTACCGTCTGTTATGTTTAATATTGCCTGCTGTGGTTTAGTTGTTGCCTGCTGTGTTTTAGTATTTTCTGCTCTGTGCTGAAGTATGTCTTGTCAAAGCCTTACGCATGCGTGCATGCTGTGCTTGGTTAGTAGGACGCCGTCATTCGGTCGTGGCACCAATATTGAATCTTTGGCTGTAACGAATTAGCGTTTTGTTACCCGACGTTATGATTTATGTTTGGGTTCGAAGTGCTGGCATGAAGTCATGACGCCACTCGCGTCTCAGACGTCACCAAATATAGTATGATATGATCAATGATGTTATGTTATGTTGGTGCCCCAATCACAACACTCTCTTAACTTCTGTCATGCTGCGGTCCGTCGTGCTATGTATGTTCCGTTATCTGATGTTACCGCAAGTAGAAGTCGATTCACTTGTATTAACAGATTGGCCTCGATGCGAATTCATAATGTATAAATGTTATGATCCACGTTATGTTGCACCCGATCATGCTAGATTATATTAGGAAAGTATTCGCCGCGGCTTGATATTGCATTCAACTCGAGTAAACTATACGATGCCTTGTTGTGTTATTATTATGTTCTCTTGTGTCCTAGTATGTTGTGATTTGTTATGATCACTTCCCCAAGATCCCAGGCGGTATCGGTGACCTGGCGGCCGCGGCATGTGGCGGCCCGCAACGGGGTCCCCGCGGGGCCACCGGTGGTCCTGGGGATCTGGCGGCCGCGGCGCGCGGTGGCCCACGAGGGGGCCCCCGCGGAACCACCGCTGGACTTGGGGATCTGGCGGTCACGGTACGCAGGGCGGTCGAATTGGGAGGTCCGTTATTAAAACCGAACGCCCCGAACGATCCCAACCGCGCTGGATGCCGTTCGGGCATTGCGGGGCCAGCGCGATAGCGTAGATCCTGAAATTTGAAAGGGGGTGAACGTGGTGCGCTTGCTGTGAAATCATGGGATGCCCACGCCACTGATGTCAGCCCTCGAAAATATTGGTACAACGATTCATTCACCAGTTCATTGAAGCGTCTTGCCACCTAGAGATCTCGCAAAAGGTCAGCTTAGAAAGAAAGAGAAAAAGAGAAAGAGAAAGAAACAACTGTCATCTCTGAACGATTACATCACGCACGCCCGTTGCATCGATGGCTCGCGCGCGGGGGGCAGTCGATTCCAACCAAGCGCCCTGGGGGCCCCAGCCCAACCCGCTGTTTGATGGTTTCAACACGGTTTTGTTGCGGGTTTGCCTCGCAATTCGCGCGATGTGGTTCATCAATTTATGCATCGCACTTGTCTTCATCGGCCCATTCATCATTAGGTCCGTTCATCATTTGATTTGGGGAGATGTTGTGCATGTCCCCATCGTGCTTCTCCTAGATCTCACGCGCTCCTTTCATCGGCCCATTCCAGTCTCATTGTGCAACCCCGTAGCATGGCACGCGTCTGGGTTGCAACCAGCTGTTTCTGCAGTGTCGTTGCAGCCGCGCCATAGCCCCCGCGGCGGCCACGACGGATAATTCCTGCAGCGAGGGCCTTGCGAAAGCATTGCTTCTTCTGCGCAGATCCCGGCGTGCCCTCGCAATTCGCACCCTTGTGTAGCGCCTGTTGCACACGGGTGTCTTTTGTGGCGACCTCGCGAAAAGGGCCCCGAACGCGGGGGGCCTGAGCCAGCCCCCGAGAAATCCTCGCGCGGCGGCGCGCGCAAGCGGACTTTTTGTTGTGGCCTCCCTACAAACGAATTCAAACGCGGGCGCCCTGCGACAGCGGCGCCGTGATCCCACGAAAGCTAGAGAAAGAAACACACGGAAACAAAAAACATGCAAAAAGTGCGCTCTTTCGAAGAGCGACCGGAAAAGTTAACGGAAATGGTGGCGCAGATACGCCGCGCTTGCAATAATTTCTGCATTTGCCATGTTCCAAAGATTTCATTTCAATTGCGGTGCATCTGCAGCGGCCGCCACAAGTGAAGCCCTTTTGCAACAGCCCTTGCAAAAGACTTCCTTGTACTGCGACCTTACAAGAAGACTCTGAATGTGGGGGATCTGCTGCGGCTGCCAACATCGAAATCCTTTTGTAGCAGCTTCTCAAATGGAGCCATTGCGTGGTGGTCGTACTTGACAAATCCCTTTTGCGCAGGCTGCGACAACAGGATCTGAAGTGTCATGGCAAATGCAGGTCTCCCAATCAAAATCCTGCTGCAAGATCGCCACGCAAGAAATCCCTCTGTAAAGGGTCGCACACGTTGATTTCAACGCGGCGACGATGCAAATGCCCCGCATTTAAAAACGCTGTCCGGAAAATCACCGCAAAAGGATCACCCTTGCAAGGGCTGCTACAAAGATCCAGGTGTTCCTTGCGTTGTTTTGTTGATTTCTGGTGGAAGCGAACTGTGTTTGCATGCTCTGCATGTGGTTGTTTTCATGTTTTCCCGGCAAACATCCTCGGCCCCGCGGGGCCGCCGCTATGATCTCCACGGGGGCGGGCCGCGGAAGCCCACAGGGAACGCATGAAAAAATGAAAACAACGAGCGAAACTTATTTCCACGTGAAGGCTTCACAAAAAAAACCTGTGACCCTCGCTATCTTTATGGCGCAGGACCCCGCAAGTGAAATCATTGAGTCGCAGCCCTTGCAAAACATTAGATTCCTTTCGCGGCGACCTCCCAAGGGGATTCAGCGCGGGGCGTGCGCAGTGGCCGCCGCGCTTGAAACCCTCCTGCAACACTCTTTACAAAAGGTTTCCTCTTGTGGCATTCCGACGAAATCATTAAAGACGCGGGGGGGGAAACCCTAGTGTAGCGCCCTGCGCAACATGGATTACTTTCTGCAAGACCGTCAGACAATGATCTCCTTGTACAAGCTGCTAAAAGAGGATTGCAATGTAGGATGTCACAGCAGCTCCTTAACTACCAACATCTCGCTGAAGAATCGCAACACAAGGAATCTGTTGGTTTTTAATGTGTATATATATATAAAAGGCGCTACAACATAATGTCACTTGCGGCGGCCACTGCAGAGAGGCAAAACATAAAATCATTGCGAAAGGTCGCCACAACAAAAAAACAATATTGCAAGGGCTGCTACACATGGATTTCAAGCGTGGGTATCTACACCATGAAAACAGCTGTCGCCGCAGGCGCTCCCAGCTTTTCCATGCCTTTCCATGTGCAAAGCACATGATTTTCCTTAGTTGACATATTGCGCCTACGTTCTGCTCAAGCGCCCTTGGGCTCATGGCGCCGCCGCTGCAGGCCGCCCGCATGTGAAATCTCGTTTGCAAAACCGCCACAGAAATCCCCTTGCGCGAGCCGCTACAGCAAGGCTTCGCGGAGGCCACTGCAAGCGCCCGCGCATGAGATTCTGTCGCAAGATCGCCCCGAAGAAAATCCGTTTGTAAAGGGTGCTGCAAATGACTCTCCAGTGCAGCGGCCACTGCACATGCCCATCACGTTAAACCCTCTTGGGGAAATCACCACAAAAATACTCCTTCTGCAAAGGCTGGTACACAAAATATTTCAATTGCAGGGGACCTGCACCGTGAAAATAGGGAGCGTCACAAGTATTCCTACATGTGTCCGGTTATTCTGGTTGAAGACAAACGCTTTTTATGTGTGTCATGCTTCTCCTGCTTTCCTGGTGAGCTTCCGCGGCCCCGCGGCGCTTCCTCTGGGAACCCGTCGCATTCAAAACCAAATATGTAGATGAAATGCAACTTGAGCCCGTCGGTGGTTATTTACATATTGAATTCGAGTCCAATTCAAATAAATTGCGGAAGAGCGGCGCCATGGAAGTCGCACAACCGAAATAATGTTGCACGTCTGCCTTTTACATCACTCAACACGTAAATGTCTCGAACTCTACGCGCGACGTGAACGCGCGCGCAACAGACGGCGCACGTTGGCAAAGCAAGAAAAATGGCTGCAATCGCACAAGCGGCGGGCCCGATGGACCCCCCCCCCCCAAACCAGCAAACGCAAACTTGTCTGCGACAGTTGTTGCGGTCGGCCTTTTCACAAGCGACGCGCGCGCAACCTCTGTTGCAGCCGGAATCACCAGGCACATATTGAGACGCATCCTGCAAAAGCAGAGCACGTAACAGCCGCGCCTCCTTTGCGGCGAGGTTGCCCACTGACCGCTTACGAAAGCTTCGCGAAAAACGCAAGCAGGATCACGTGCGTCTGCAGAGCGAAGGCCACATCATGAGCAAGCGAGAGCGAGTGGGCAATGTGCTTGAGCATGAGCAAGCAAGCGCAAGCGAAAGCAAGTGGGCCATTGCAAGCGAGCATGAGCATGAGCTAGCGAGAGCATGAGCATGAGCATGAGCATGAGCATGAGCATGAGCATGAGCATGAGCATGAGCATGAGCATGAGCATGAGCATGAGCATGAGCATGAGCATGAGCAGGCGAGAGCGAGTGGGCCCTAGCAGAATGGCAAAACCCCGTTAGGCGCACGGG